GACCTTACCATTATAAGTCTTGCCGTGATTTGCTTTAACAAAATGCAATACCTCACATTCATCTAAATTAAACTCTACCTGCTACTCTAAGTGGTTAGGAGAGCTTTGGAAAAATGATGAAAGCTTCTAAAGTAATAGGACAGAGAGTGTGGAAAGGGTCAGGAATCTAACTTCAGACAGATTAGGAGACTCCTATGAGAAGGGTGCTGTCAATGCATCGAGGGTGTTGTACTTAAATGCATGCAAAATACAAAACAAATTAAATGAGCTTGTAACTAAGATTCAAATTGGCAGGTACAGTTTTGTGTGTATCACAGAGACATGGATGCAAGGAGATAGGGGCTGTGAACTAAATATCTAAGGATACCTGTATTATCGAAAGGACAGGCAGACAGACAATAGAGACAGAGTTGCCTTGTCAGTAAGAAATTAAATTTAATCAACAACAAGAAATGATACAGTGTGAGAAGATGTAGAATCTTTTTCTCTTTTATTCATCCGGATGTGCGTGCCACTGGCTGGACCAGCATTTATTACCCATTCCGAAGAGTCAACCACATTGCTGTGGATCTGGAGTCACGTGTTGGCTAGACCAGGGAAGGACAATGGATTTCCTTCCCTCAAGGACATTAATGAACCATATGAGTTTTTCCTGACAATTGACAATGGTTTCATGGTTTTAATGGTTTCTTTCAAGATTATTATTGAATTCAAACTCTGCCATCAGCCAGGTAGGTAGAGTTGAGGAACTGCAAAGGAAAAAGAACCGTGTAGAAATTATGTACAGGCTCCTTTGCTGTAGTCAGGATTTGGGGCAGAAAATAACTCAGGAGATAGAAAAGACACGTAAGAAAGGCATTATTACACAAAACATGTGGGACTTCAATATGCAAATGGACTAAAGAAATCAGGTTGGCAACAGATCTTAAGAAAAGGAATTTGTGCAATATCTATGCGATTTCTTTTGGAGCAACTTATGGTACAGCCCACCAGGGAACAGGTAATTATGGATTTGGTGTTATGTAATGAGGCAGACTTGATTAGGGAGCTTAAGATGAAGGAACCTCTCAGAAGCAGTGAGCATAATATGATAGAATTTACCCTTTGGTTTGAGAGGCAGAGTTGGAATCAGATATAACAGTATTACAATTGAGCAAAGCTATCTACAAAGACATAATGGAGGAGCTGGCCAGAGTTAATTAAAAGGGGAATTGAGCAGGGAAGACATTGGAGCAGCAATGACAGGAGTTTCTGGGGGTAATTTGGGAGACACAACAGAAATTCATTCCAAGGAAGGAGAAAAATACTAAGGGGTGAACAAAACAAGGGAAAATGGGCACTGTATAAAAGCAAAAGAAAAAGTGCACATTGTGATGAAAATGAGCAGGAAGCCAGAGGATTGGAAAACTTTTAATAACCAACAGAGGATGTCTGAAAAAAAGCAATAAGTGGAGGGGGGAGGAGAAAGAGAGAGAGGATGAAAAATGAGGGTAAGCTAGCCAGTAATACAAAAGAAGATTGCAAGAGTTTTTAGTTATATAAAAGATGAGTGAGGCAAAAGTTGATATTGGATTGCTTGAAAACGAGACTAGAGAAATCATAATAGGGAACAAAAAAATACTGGAGGACCTGAATGGATGCTTTACATCAGTCTTCATGGTGAAAGACACCAGCAGCATTCTAGAACTTCAAGACAGTCAGGGGTCAGAGCCAAGTGTAGCAGCCATCACTAAGGAAGCTGGGGAAGCTGAAAGGTCTGAAGGTGGATAAATCACCTGAACTGATGGACTATGCCCCAGAGTTCTGAATGCGATAACTGTGGAGATTGTAAAGGCATTGGGTGGTGATATTTCAGGAATGACAGGAGTCAGGGTGGGTCCAAGAAGACTGGAAAATGGCTAAATGTAACACACCTTTTTAAGAAGGGAGGGAAGCAGAAGACAGGAAACTATAGGCTGGTTAGCCTGACCTTGGCCATTGGTAATATTTTGAGTCCATTATTAAGGATGATATTGCAGAGTACTTGGAAGGGCATGGTAAAATAGGGCTGAGTCAGCATGATTTCATCAAGAGGAAGTCATATCCGACAAATCTGTTAGAATTATTTGAAGAGGGAATGAACAAGTTAGATAAACAAGAGCCAGTGGACATGATCTATTTGATAAGCCTTTGTATAAGGTGCTGTGCAGGAGGTTGCTGAGTGAGATAAAAGCCCATGGTGTTAGGGGCCAGGTACTGCCATGGAGAGAGGACTGGCTGACATGCAGATTGAGAGAATAGGGATAAAGGGTCTCTTTTGGATGGCAACTGGTGACTAGTGGAGTTCTGTAAGACTCAATGTTGAGACCACAACTATTTGCACTTTTACATTAACAATCTGGACGAAAGAACATTGTTGCTGAGTTTGCAGATAACACAAAGGCAGAGAGACAGGTAGTGATGAGGGGGCAGAAGGCTGCAGAAGGACTTTGAAAAGCTAGGAGAGTAACAGATGAAATACAATGTGGGAAAGTTAGGTTATGCACTTTGGTAGGAAGAACAGATGCATTAACTATTTTCTAAATGGGGAAAGGCTCCAGAAATCCTTAGGCATCCTATTTCAGGATTCTCATAAGGTTAACATGCAGGTTCAGTTGGCAGTTAGGAAGGCAAATGCAATGTTAGCAATCATTTCAAGATGTCTGGAGCAGGGATGTACTGCTGAGGCTGTATAAGACTCTGATCAGACTGCATTTGGAAGATTGTGAGCAGTTTTGTGCCCTAAATCTAAGGAAGGATGTATTAGCCTTTTAGGGGGTCCAGAAGCAATTCACAAGAATGATCCCTGGAATGAAGAACTTATCATATGAGGAACGGTTGAGGACTCATGGTCTGCACTCCATGGAGATTTGAAAGAGGAGGCGGGAATCTCATTGAAACTTACAGAATACTGAGAGACCTGGATGGATATGGAGAAGATGTTTCTACTAGTAAGAGAGACTAGGACCTGAGGGCAAAGCCTCAGAGTGAAGGGCCATCCCCTTAGAAGTGGGGAGGCAGATGGCCTAGTGGTACTATCGTTGGACAGTTAACCCAGAGACTCTCTGGAGACCTGGGTTGGAATTGGCAGATGGTGAATTCAATAAAAATCTGGAATTAAGAGTACAATGATGATAATGAATCCACTGTTGATTGTCAGGAAGAACCCATCTGGTCACTAATGTCCTTCAGGGAAGGAAACTGCTGTCCTTACCTAGTCTGGCCTACATGTGACACTAGACCCACAGCAATGTGGTTGACTCTTAACTGCCCGCTGGGCAATAAATATTGCCTGGCCAGCCATACCCTCATCCTGTGAATAAATAAAGAAAAACAAAGATGAGGGGGAATTTCTTCAATCAGAGGTAGGGAATCTGTGGAACTCATTGCCATAGGAGGCTGCGGAGGCCAAAATATAAAGTGTATTTAAGATGCAGATAGGTTTTTGATTCGTCAAGGAATCAAGGGTTACAATGAGTAAGCAGGAGAATGGGGTTGACAAACGTATCAGCCATGGTTGAATGATGGAGCAGTCCTAATGGCCTAATTCTGCTCCTATATCTTATCATCTTAAGTCTTATGGTGGCCAATAAACAACTCCCACCAATGTTCACTGTTATGCATCCAAACTGATTTTACATTTTGCTCCTTTGATCTAAGATCTTCTCTTAGTAATTTAATGATTTCATTTCTTAGCAAAAGTTTTTGCTTGTCCTTACTAAATCCCAAATATCCTTGAATATTCACCTTCTGAGTTTAGTCACCGTGAAGCCACATCTCTGTAATAGAAATTAAATCATACCCATTTACCTCAAATTGTACAGTCAAATTATTAACCTTTTTGTGAATGCTGCACAGCTAACATTCAGATGCAGTAGCTTTAATTCAGACTTTGTTTTAATTATTCTTTATTCTGATCCTATTTGGTGCTTGCCATTGCTACCTGTCTTCTATTTTTGCCTTTGACTTTTCTAATTTTTTACCATTTCACTTCTGTCAAATCTGAGCTCCTTCTCAGCTTCCCATTTCCCTTCCATGAACCTGGCTCTGACTGCAGTCCTCCAAGGAGCCAGTGCCCTCACCAAGCTAGAAAACCAATTAGCAAGTGGAACTTTAGGGTTCTCTTCCTGGTTCTCTTGGATTTTTTGATAGTCACCCATTTCCTTTCTGTCTGCAGTGTAACTACCTCTCTGAACATGCTACCCACCCTTGTTATCAGCCTCATGGATACATCATAGTGACTCTAGATGCCAATCAAACTGCAAAATCCAGACCTCAGGTTTCTGTGGCTGGTTACATCACCTGCACATATGGTTGGCTATGTCACTGGCAGCATCCATGTCTTCTCACATGCAACAGGACCCACACAACATGTGACCAAGCTGTCTTGCCATGCCTGAACTAAACTGTTTCTTCAGCTTCTTCTACTAGAATACAAACTATCAATGCAACACATTACATTTGCTCAATGTTGCTCATAAAGAAAGTATACTGGCATTCATACAGCTCCTGTATTCTATTAAACTCTCCCTTTCTTCAGTCCTTCAACAGGAAGAAGAATCTTCAACAGCCAAGGACCTTAGTTTAGGCCTTAACCAATCGTCCCTTTACTTGATCCATCAAAACACTTGAACCTCACAAACATCAGTTGAGAACCATCCCCTTGGGAGGGCTTAGATAGACTGAAGGAAGGTGATTCACAGACTGGTGAAGAAAAACTTGAGGTGTGGAGATAAACATTTGGTTGCTACTGTCTAGAGACAGAGACGCAGAGGATATGATTTTTCTCAAATTTGGTAGCTATGAACCGAAACACAAGGGGTCCATCAGTAAGAGGGATGATGGCCGTTCACCACTTTGCTGATGGTAAGACCTTGTGTACAAATTGGGCATCACACTCAGCTACATTTAAAACAATGATTGCATTTTAACAATCAATGAGAAATTAAGTGTGTTAGGAGGTTCTGAAAATTTCAAAAAAGGATTATTTTAAACATATTTTCTTCCAAAGATCAAGGAGGTGAACCTTCAGATTGTTTGGAAAATCAAACAGTGGAATCTTCAAACTCTTCATTCTTCACTGAGGAAGAGCTTAACAAACTGAAATCTGATTATGAAACGGGTGGAGTGGAAATGGTTAAAAAAGTGTTACAGCAGAAAGTAACTGAGCTGGACAAGACAGCACTTAATGTTGCAGTGACAGGAGAAACGGGTGCAGGGAAATCTTCCTTCATCAATGCGATGAGAGGACTTCAGATCGATGATGAGGGAGCAGCTGAAGTTGGTAACAGAGAAACCACAAAGGAGCCAACCGGATACAAACATCCTCCCAACCTGCCAAATGTTTGTTTCTGGGATCTGCCAGGAATTGGGACCAAAAAATTCCCAGCGAATAAATACCTGAAGGAAATGAAATTTAAGAAATATGATTTCTTCATCATCATCTCACACTGTCGATTCAAAGAAAATGACACAAAATTTGCCAAAGAGATTAAACGGCTTGGGAAGAATTTCTATTTTGTTCGATCTAAAATCGATAATGATCTTGATTCAAAGAGAAGGGGAGGGGGGAAATTTAATGAAGAGGAAGAACTGGTGAAGATCAGGAAGGACTGTGTCAGCAAGCTGCAACAGGCAGGGATCCCAAAACCCAGTGTGTTCCTGATTTCAAACTTGGATCTGCATCTGTATGATCTTAGTCTGTTAAATAAAGCTCTTGAAGGTGACCTTCCATGTATAAAGAAAAGTGTGTACATGCTGGCCCTTCCAAATTTAAACTCAGACATTGTGGAGAAGAAAAGGAAAGAGCTAAAGAAACGAGTCTGGATGTTGGCGACGCTTTCTGGTGTAATCGGGGCAGTGCCAGTTCCTGGAGTCTCCCTTGCTAGTGACATCAGCATACTGATTGGCGGAATAATACATTTCCGTCAATGTCTGGGTCTGAATGATTCTGATCTTGAAAGACTGGCCAAAAGGGCAGGGAAATCTGTGGAGGATCTGAAAGCAGTGATAACAACTTCCCTGGTCGGGGGGGAGATAATTCCCGATGTCATAAACAGATTGGCCTGGGGTGTTGCTGCTGTCACCATCTCAGCAATTGAGCTCGCCCTTGACATCATCCCAGTGGTTGGTTCCATCTTTGGAGCAGGGTCATCGTTCCTTATGACATACAAACTGCTGAATGCTGTGCTGCATGATCTTGCAGAGAATGCACAGAGAGTGGTGACAGCTGCATTTAGGTCCGAAAATCATCCAAACCAAACATCAGTACAGTGAGTGAATGCTCTAGTTGATGGATAAATGAGATCTAACCCTAAACACTGCTGAAAGTCTACTCTTAAAATATTCCTTTGTGACTGAACTCATTTGTGAAAATATTCTTCCCTCAGGTCAGGGAAGTGTTATTACAGAACAATATCTTCTGGATGGCTTTTTCTACATGTATTATAAGGAGGATTTTAAGAGTCTAATTAACTTCACGTGTTCCCTGCACACAGCCTGCCCCTACATTAAATACAAAATGTTGCCCTCTGCTGGAATTATCCAGCACAGGATATATCCATTCAGCCCACCATTCCTATGGTTAGAAATATCTGTGTGTCCATAATGACAGTGATGGATTCACTTGCAATGTTCAGCCCATTCTCTGTCATGCCCTCTTTTGAAATGTAACAAAAGCATTATTACTGAAATGGACTCCTACAGGTTATGCAGAAAGACAACCACTGGGAATGTGTTTCATTTTTGATTGTAAGTAATTTTCACATTGGCCTCTTTTTCCACCTTTTGGCTATCATTCACGTGATATTTTAAACCTAATAGGTGATCAGGTTAACAGACCCAGCATAGACCAATCCCAATAGAAAGCCTTATCAAGAGGAAGCTTATTTTCCAATGCTACTAAACCCATCAGCACATTCAGTGTACATCCCACTCACCTGGTATTAGAACAGTCGTTGCATGAAGCAGAGAATGCCATAAAAGGATTCAGTTCTCTGCAGATCTGGATACGTGATATCAAAATATGGATGAAGGCACTGGATAAAGTAAAGGCTATGGGCCTTGTCAATCTACCAGCAACACTACTGAAGACTTCGCTCCAGAACCTGCCAAGATACTATCAAACAGCACTTGCTCAACAATTAACCTGGTCTCTGACGCTAAGTTCAGGTTCTTCCAGGCCCACTCAGCCTGTGACTTCATGACAGCTTTGCTCCGAACATAAACGGAAGAGTTGAACTGCACAGGTGAGGTGAGAGAGACTGCACTTGGCAGCAAGGTCCCACATCTCACTACCAGTGACTCAGGATTTGGTGCAATCCTAATGCAGCAAGGACAGTGGGTTGCATTTGATTCCAGGAAATTAGCACAAATTGAACCATTATGCTTGAATGGATAAAGAGTGCCTAGCCATTTTATTTGCTTTTGAACATCTTCATCAATACCTACTTCTGGGAGCATAATAATCTTCGGGGCTGACCACAAGCAACTTCAAAGCAATTTCCAAAATATGCCACTATCTGCTCCAAAGAATGTTACTCAAAATACAGAGGTACCATCTGGACATGATAGGCAGACGTGATGTTAAGAGCAGCCTTCCAAACGTAGAAAGGAGAGGATACTAGAGTCTTAAAGCAGCATTTATCGATAGACTGCAATTTCTATGGAAACAGACCCTTCGGCCCAACTCGCCCATGCCTACCAGGCATCCCAATCTGACCTAGACCAATGTGCCAGCATTTGGCCCATAAAAAGTTACAACGAGGTCCTTGTTAAACTTCTCCCTCTCACCTTAAACCTTGATGGCGCCACTGGCAGGGTAGGCAGCATTTGGGGCCACTGAGCTTGTCTGCTGCCCAGCACCAGCACAGCCACAAGCTTCTTTCACCTTTTCTTTCTTCTTTTCTCTTTCACCTTCATCTTCTTTTTTGCGGTGATGGCAAAAGAACACAGTGCCGGTGGGATCAGGCATTAAGGTGCCTGAACAAATTCAGGGTCAGTTCAAATAAGCGGGACAACTCACTGCTGGTTGGAGTCATACCTGGGTCAAAGGAAAATTGCTTGTGGTATTGGAGATCAATCATCTCATTCACAGGTCATCACAGCAGGGGTGTCTTAGAGTAATGTCCATGACCCAGTCATCTTTAGTTGTACCTTTCCTTCATCCTAACGTCAGATGTTGAAATGTTTTTTAATGGTTATACAAATTTCAGCCTTATTACCACAGCTCCACAGATGCTGTGGCAGCTCGTATCCGTAGACTGCAATATCTGGACAATATCCGGGCTTGGGCTGATAGTGGCAAGTAACATTCATGCTTATACATGTACCATCTCCAACAAGGAAGAATCTAACCATCACCCCTTGATAGTAATTCATATTACAGTCAATGACTCCCCCACTGTTAAGATTCTTGGTGATACCATTGAACAGAAACTGAACAGGACCTGCCACAAAAATATTATAGCTACAAGGACAGGTCAGAGGCTAGAAACTTGAAGACCATCAGCACATCTCTTGTCTCCACAGTGCCTGTCCACCATCTAACAAAACATAAGTAAGGACTGTTAGATATAACACAGTGTAGAGCTGGAGGAACAAAGCAGTCCAGGCAGCATCAGAGGAGCAGGAAAGTTGACATTTTGGGCCGGGACCCTTCTTCTGAATCTTCTGTATTTTCAGGGTTAATGTTGTGCTAAAGCTGAAGACTTCGCTCCCCTACCATATTACTCACTCGACCTCTGCCAGTTCCCCTGAAGTTACCAGCTCCTTAGATGCTAAAGGATAGATGGAGTAGTGATTGCAATGACAACTGTAACAAAATACACTCAAGGTGCAAGATTCCTTCGTTCTGAATCAAGCTGCCCTTTTTCAACAGGTTAAAAAAAAGACAAATTTACTTTAAGTCAAGCTCCTGTTTTGTATCTGTCTTTAATACCATTTTATGCCATTACCATTTAATTGGAATTCAGTTTGTGTTGACATTTGTATCTGAAAGAGTTTTAATTAAATACTGTCTTTACAATTAACAATTGACAATTATTTTGTAAACCATTAACAATGTTATTATTCAAAGGGTTTTAATCATTTTGGAAATCTTCTTTCCCTTCCTCATTTTTAAGTTTTGTTTCCTTCCATAGTATGAGCTGAAACTTCTTAAGGCACCAGGGATTTTAGCAGCTGCTACAGGAGAGCTGCTGAGACACTAACACTGCCTCTTCCAGGGAAGGCTTGCCAAATCACAACCTAATTATGCAGTGGCAAGGCCACCAGTGGACTCCCCCTGAAATCAGAGGCATGGGGACAGAGGTCTCCCTTGGAGGGAGCTGCTAACCAATCAGAGGCCAGTAGCTCTTCTGTTGACATGTCATGAAGGTGGTCATGGTTGCTGTTGGAAGTACACTCATGCAGAGTCCAAGGATCGCAGAGTGAACTAGGAGAAAGGGACGTGATGTGGTGGTGGAAGAGTAGGTATTGTTAGTTGGAGCTCTGTGTGTCTACAAGCAAGCACCCACCGCCTAGATTTCTAATCCTTTGATCAGACAATGATTTCCATGGATCAAGAGATCCTTGCACATCCTTCCCTAAGATGATAAGCTGTCTGCAGGGGAACAGCTATAGTGCACACTGCATAGTAACATGCCAGCTTCCCACTGGATTAATTCCAACAGCAGAGATAACAAGGTGTAGACCTGGATGAACACAGCAGGCCAAGCAGCATCAGAGGAGCAGGAAGGCTGACGTTTCGGGCCTAGACCCTTCTTCTAGACCCTTCTTCCTGCTCCTCTGATGCTACTTGGCCTGCTGTGTTCATCCAGGTCTACACCTTGTTATCTCAGATTCTCCAGCATCTGCAGTTCCTACTATCTCTAATTCCAACAGCAGTTGGCCTTGAATGGCCATTATGTAGCCACTTTAGGGGCTCAGTTGTAAATAAACAATAACAAGTCTGAGCATTGGGAGTGTTTCAGGAACCACCAAAGAGCAGTAAAAAGTTAATCAGAAGGGAAATAAACTATACTATGAGAATAAACTAACGGTAATTCTTAAATACAGATTGTAAAACCTTTGATAAATATATAAGGGAGAGTAGATAAGGTAAATATTGAACCCTGGGAAGCAGTGACAAAAGAGAGAAGCCTGGGAAATGAGGACATGACAGGAGCATTAAACAAATTTATATCTGTCTTCGCAAGTATGAGACACAAGTTTCACACCAGGTATTCTCAGTGACTTGGGGGCTAGCAAGAATAAGGAAATTTTTAAAAATTGATATCAACAAAGAAAAAGTATTGGACAAATTTAAGGGACTAAAACCTGACATATACCAAAGATCAAATGACCTACCATCCCGCGATTCTAAACCAAATTTAACTTTGAAATAAAAACAGAAATAGCTGGAAAAGCTCAGCAGGTCTGGCAGCATTTGTGAAGAGAAATCAGAGTTAACGTTTTGGGTCCGGTGACCTTTCCCTGAAAGGCTCTGAGGAAGGGTCACTGGAAACGAAATGTTAACACGATGTTGCCAGACCTGCTGAGCTTTTCCAGCCATTTTTGTTTTTCTTCAGATTTACAGCATCTGCAGTTCGTTCGGTTTTAACTTTGAAATAATGCACGCACAAGGTTTGATCTTCCAAAACTCCTTAGATTCAGGTGCAGGCCAAACAGATTGAAAGTTAACAGAGATAGTAGGAACTGCAGATGCTGGAGAATCTGAGATAACAAGGTGTAGAGCTGGATGAACACAGCAGGCCAAGCAGCATCAGAGGAGCAGGAAGGCTGACGTTTCGGGCCTAGACCCTTCTTCAGAAAATTGTTATTGTGTTCTTCAAGAAAGAAGGGAGAGAAGAAATGGTGAACGTCAGGCCAGTTAACCAAACATCAATCATTGGGAGAAGCTGGAATCTAATATTAACAAAGTCCTAACGTGGCTAGAATAGCACAGTATGATTTGAACAAATGAACATGGCTTTATTAAAGGGAAATCCTGCTTAACAAATTTTTCTCATCGAGTTCTTTTAGAATATAACTTAGTTGGATAAAGAGGAACCACTAGATGTAGTATTTGTGGATTTCCAAAATCATTCGGTAACGTACCACATAAAATAAAGGCAAAATATGGAATTGTTGAGTTGGGGGCAATATTGTAGAATGGACAGAGAATTTTTTTAACAGACTGGAAACAGTGAGTTGACATAAATGGAGCATTTTAAATTTATCAAGTCACTGAATAGTGACATCCCACAAGGATCAATGCTGGATCTTAGCTGTCACCA